TGCAGACACTGTTTTATTTATTTATTTTTTTAATTACATAAAGAAAGCAGAATGAAGTAAGGTAAAGTTTTGGAGTAAACCTGCCTGGGGTCAAATTTCATCTCCACCATGGTTGGCTGTGTCACTAAGTTACTTAATGACTCTGAGTCTCACTTTCCTCATTAGTGAAATGGAGCATATTGGTATTTCCTTCAGTGACAGTGCCTGGTTCAGTGCCTGTTACATGGCAACTCAATAAATGCTTGTCATTTTTACGATTATCTAAAGAATTTACACTTTCAAAGCACAAAGGGAAATCAAGAACCCTCCCTATGTGCTTTCTTATAATGTCCTACAATGAGGAAGATTCTTGGTGTCTATCCCATGTGAGGCATATATAGGTATTCCATAAATATTGTAGATTAAATTGAAAGGGCAGTTATTTTGAAGTATGAAGTGGTGAAAACAATTTTACTTTCAGAAACTAAAGCACTAAAAAGATTACTTACAAAATCATGTGAAAAAATATCTGATAAATGCTATAATATTAATGGTAATGATATTTGGGGCAGCTTTATCAAAAAAGCTTTATGAAATACAAACATTTCCATTGAATTAAAAATATATTGTGTAAGTTTGTCAAATTGGCTAATGGTTGACAATTTCTAGAATACATGAAGGTATATCAAAAAACCCTGAAGGAAGGAAAAGAAACATGTTTGGTGCTATGAACTACCTGGAAATCTATTTCTGTTTGACCTAAATTACTAATTCTAGATGTAAAAACTACTTTGGATTCCAAAATCTAAATTATTCAAGATGTGGGGCACCTGGGTAGCTCAGTGGGTTGAGTGTCTGCCTTCGGCCATGATCCTGGGGTCCTGGGATGAAGCCTTGAGTCCGGGCTCTCTGCTCAGCAGGGAGTCTGCTTCTCCCTTTCCCTCTGCTCCTCCCGTCTGCTCCTGCTCTCTCTCTCTCTTGCCCTCTCAAATAAATTTAAAAAAAATCTTAAAAATAAATAAATAAATAATTCAAGATGTGTTTTTAACATGTTTTTGAATGACAGCAAATTTAAAAATCTCGTATTATAGGTTTTCTTTTCCCTTGGGCATTAAAAATATAATCTGTACTTTTACATTTCTTGCTTTATTTTAGCAAAGAGATATGAGATCAAAGGAGTCCTCCCTCAGTTGTTCTAAATTGAGAAACCATTTTCTAGTATCTAATGAAAATCAGACCGATTACTTAATATTAACTGTGTATATGCGTAAGCTTCTATTGCTAGGTCCCTCAAAGTGTGTGTGTATGTGTGTGTGTGATATCTATTCCAACACAATCTAGAGTTAAAATGGTTCTTATTTCTTTACAGTTCTAGTCTTCTAGTGGACAGTCTGTTTTGTCCTATAGAAAGTTTTCATTCAATGAATAATTCAGACTCAAACTGCATATTGGTAACTATATTTTAAACCAAAAAATTCCTCACATAATAAATACATTTTATGCACATTAACTTCAAATTTACTTCAGAAAGCTATTTACAATATAAATAATTATAAATGGGAACACTTTGCAAGATATCATTGACATAGCTAATATCTTCTACTTTACATTCCAAAGTAAAAGTTCAAATTACAGATTTATACTACGATGTCACTAAAAACTATACATTGCAAGATGGTATTTGAAATATTGGCAATCAGTATCTTCTTTCACAAATATAATCCTTTTTATATCATGTCAGTCAAAAAACAAACATAAAATATTTTTATCTTTTTTGAAATGCCTACTCATAAGTTTCACTTTTTGAAATATTTCCCTTTGGAAAAAAACAGAAAAAAGTTACAGTACTTCTAAAAATTTTTCCACGCCAATTTCATTTCTTTTGAAATGTAAACACACCAGGGTTGTTGGTGTAAATTCAACTGTGATTAAATGTGTTCCAGATCAGCAAATTAGGACAAACTCTCCACTGTATAGGTATATGAAAGCAAAGTCCCATGCAGCAAAATTGTAATAAATAAAATTAAAAGTGTTTGGTTTAAAAGTATTAGGATTTCTTGTGTGAACCATCAGTTTTTAAGGAGCACAGCGGAACAGAATCTTGTTACTTGCTTTACAACTCTGTGTGTGTGTATGTGTGTGTGTGCGCACACACACACACACATATAGCCTCTCTGCATACAGCCCTAGAGAAGGAATTCTGAACAAACCCCTATTTGAATATGAGCACAATATCACTTTTTGAGTTAAGCACTACCCGTACAACTCTTGTGCACAAGAAATGAGCACCACATGGTCATTTCCCCCAAGAACATTTTCTATGTAAGATACCCTTTGCATGTGTCCATAGTTGTTCTGTAATTCATTTAAAGTTTAGAATGATCTTTTATCCACAATGCATGTCCCAGTAAGAACTAACCAGTAGATTCTGCTGTCTTAGAGTCAAATCCCTATTCACAAAAACTGACATTTACGTGAAAGTTGAATCACTTATTTGGAGAGCCATAGAATTTACATTCTTTAAATCATTCAGAAAATACAATGTGTATCTATGTTGCATGGTTTGAATGAACTGAAGAACCAAATCTGGGCATTCAAACTTGTTTAAATCAAAGAAAGTATATTAAAGTGGAAGCTATTCCACTGGGCAAGGTAAGTAACCCCCAGATAACCAAACCCTCCGTTTTCCAAATATCAGCATTCACTCTGTCACTTCCAAATACTACTAGTACTAATAGAATTGTACTGAATATCTTAGTAACATCCTGCTCTTGAAAGACAGAGAGAGCTATAAAATAACATACCTGTCTTCAGAATGTCTCTTACCTGTAGTGTCTTCTATCAAACTGATTTGGTCTAGGTCTTGTGGGGTAAAAAGCCTTTCATTTTATTTTAAGATAACTATGCATATTTTCCAAATGACCTTTTATTGGATAGATCCTTATCCCCCATTTAAAAAAGAAAAGAAAATGGAGCATATTATCCTTTTCTGGGAGATCCCATTAAAGCTTATTTTAAGTGGGATTCTCTGCCCAAAGGCACCATGTGGCAGCAGGGTGTAGAGAGAATTAAGGATAGTGCCCAATGGAAATATTCTAGCCCTATAAAATATAATCAAGAGAGAATGAGTGGGTTTTCTGTATAAACGCTGAAAACTAATTACTTATTGCATCCTGTCTCATTTTGAATGTCACATCAGCACTGTATCATATTATCCTAGATCAGGCAATTACAGTTTAGAAAAGCTAGCCCATTATATTCAGCATAGTATGTCAAAAGACTTGTGAAACTGAAGGACACCTAAATGTCCGACCTGTAGTGATTATGACATTAATAGTATGCATCCAAAAACAATACATCAAATCTGTATATTCTCAATAGTTTTAACAGAATTTTCTCAAGGAACATTGGGGAAATATTTATTTATTTATTTGGTCATCCAAATTGTTAAATTAGGTATGACAGGTAGGTAAATGGGCAATAAAGATATTCTTACTATTACTAGAAAGCATGAACTTTGTATCATCTAATGAATTGCTACATATTATACTAGCAACTGGATATAGCACATTTTTATGAATCCCCAATGTGATATAAAAATCATACTTCTCAATTTCAATCTAGGATCATGATTCTCAACATTTAGCGAAGTTATGGAAATCAAGGATTAAAACTAAAGCCAATTTAACTTTAAGTTATTGGTAACATGCGCATTTTACATCCCATATTTTAAAAAGACACAGATGACATCTTTGTTATGAGGAAATATACTTCTGGACAGAACAAGATAATGTAGATTATAAATACATTTTAATACATTTTTGTGTATATTAAAAAGGTACTTTGTCATAAACTGTCTCATCTTATTTTGGGTGCGTTTTGTAATAATCATGCCACATTGCCAAAAATGTAAGCTTATAATACTGTGGGCCTGTAAGGCTTTATATGTAATGTAATAAATCTGGCACTATAAAATTATTGACATGTAAATTAAATAAATGGTTTGTATTTAAAACTGGGTCAGCCTACCAAAATTTTTAATTAGGATGTAACATCATTACTTCTGTCTTCACTTAAAAATATCGGTCATACCATTTTACAGGGCATTATTTCTTCTGATTACCCCTTATTTGTAGAGTTCATAATTTATTTTTTGCCAATTAACTATCTGCCATTTTAAGATTTCACTGAAGTCTCTTCAATGACATTCTTTTCTTTCATATCAGTTCCTTTTCCTTGATTCTGAAGATTCTATTTATTTTATAGCATCTGTCCCTGACATTTTTGGTAGAATGTATATCCATCAGTAAAACCCATCTGTATAGATTTCCTTTCCAAAATACACCCTATTCTTCAGACGTTTGTGTCTTTGAACCATTAACCCACCTACAGAATTCCCCAAAAACTTTAGCAATCCTAAAACCTGACTTCGTGTTTCAAATTGATCAAAAATCTATTTTAAGTATTCCAGGGGTTTTTCATGAATATTTTTCTCAAAATCACCGAACACTTCTGCTTCTGTGGTTTAATATGTAGTTTTTCTTGTTCTTTGAACTTTTTTGAAAGTATATATGATAACTACTAACTTTCTCACTTGCGCTTTTTCCATTTACGACACAAATGTTGCTATGTCATGCCCAAGAAATACTTATTTAATTTCATGTCACCTCTTTTGTCATATACAAATGACCCCCTATTCATCTCTCAGACTATCATCAGATTGTCACCTGCCTATAAACTGCCAAATAACTGTGTTAAGTGACGAAACTAGAGTTCTAATCCCTGAGTGGTCAGTGTCATGTTCTGTCTTCAAAAATCATGAGTCCGTTTCTTCCAATACATTCCCCTCCTTGCAGATGGCAAGAGTTGCAGGCATGGCGCTCCTAGAAAAGACTGCCTAAGAAACTTCTCTAATCATCTGTGTCACTTTGCTTTGATTACTAGAGACTAGTGCATGAAATAAATTGTCTTCATTTTCCTACTCCCTCATCAGTTTCTACCATCTACATTCTGGCTGGACCAGAAAGTTGACTGTAACTACACAAGCCTAAAAGAGTCCACGCACCTGCTGAAGTTACAAAGGACCTGGACCTCTGTAGGAGTGCAGACGAGCCAGAATGATCTGTCTTGACAACTGACAGCAGAGAGTTAACTGGTTAATAAGTGTAGTTCTGTTGCACCGATGATCCACAGAACCATGGCACGTCAGAACGGCCATACAGACAAAGACACTAGGGCCCAGGCACGGTGAGTGATACATCGATATTCCCAAACTAAGTTACAGGCGGAGTCAGGGCTGGAACCCAGAGATCTTGCTTTCTAGTCTGCTGGTTTTTCTACCGTTATCACCTGAACTTAAGACCAAGTTTGTTGTTTTTATCATTCCCAGACAATAAGGAAAACGAGCGCTTTGCGTGTTCCTTCAGTTGAAGTAACTCTGATCCTTTTAACCACTTGCCCATCAGCCTGAGCTTTTATCTTAGGCTCTCTCCTGAGGCTTTCCACATGTTGTTCTCACTTACACTGCTGCCATGTAGCCCTCCATTGGCTTTCCTTAGCTCTTTCTTGCACTTAGCAGCCTTTTTTCTTGGTGAATCGGTTTGAGTTTTTTTATTTGGTTGGTTTTATAGCCCTAAATATGTTGATTACATATTCGGAGGCTTAAATTGTTTGTGTTGAGATATCATTTCATTTCTCTCTGTCTCTGGCCTTTCCATCTTTACTAAACTATTTCCAATTGGGCATGCCAGATTTTTGATGTGTGTCCCAACATCTCGGTGCTTTTACTTAGAAAACACTTACTGCTATGTCAGTGTGATCCTGTTCCTTGTCTAACTCAAAAGTAAGGTGAAAAATCACCACTTCCTGATTGCTTAAAATGGATACCAGGTGGAAACTCATTCTTGTACCATACCCAGAACCATTTCCCTAATTTATGCCTGAACCAAATGAGCTGACTGTTTAGAAGAAACCAGTTTACGAGATGTATCTCTCTCTTTCTTAGTTATTTTAGGAATGGAAATTTCTGTAATAAGCTTAATGTGCTAGGTTAAGAAAACTTACCCGTTCGTGGGTTGTATTTAAGGTATATAGTCGACATTTCTGCATGTAAAGTGTACATAGCAGTTTGTGGATAGTGGTCTGTGTGTATGAGGTTTACATCACAATGCAATACTCTTCTACCAGTCCTTTCATGTGGTATATATGCTCACTTAATCTACAAGAGTACTTTTCAATTCAAAATTTATCTATTCTGGTTCCCATATAATTAGATGGGCAATTTATATATTCACTTTAACTCCATTATCTGTGTGTAACCCTGAATGCTAGTGCTCTTTGATTTTGCAGGAACACATGTCAAATATCCAGTAACTTAAATTATCCTCTCTAACCATCTGTGGCATAGTAAATGCTGGTAATGGGGCATTAAACTATAAATATGTTTCAGAGATCCTTAAAGAACAAAATATTTTAGAAAAACATCAGCTTCCATTGGTTATTATAACAGATGTTCCCTTGTGTCCTTGTGCCGGGTCTGGCTGCATCCTTAGATGGGAAGTTACATCAAAGTGTGAGCCATTACAGCCCAAGGAATAGTTTCTAATGGTTTCACTGTCATATAAGTGCTCCAGGGCATATCCAGTTAATGTGTAAGCATGCTTATCAAAATACTGCCGGTGAGAACCAAAGCAGTTTGGAGAGACTGCAGGATGGTCTCCCGCTGTCTGATGTGGAGACATATCCGAATGTAGATAGTCTTTAGCTAGGATCAAACTGGATTTTGAAATGCGATCCGAATTGGGACTACTTATTCGAGACAGTGCAGTGGGACTGTTGTCATAGTCATTTTCATGGGGGCTCAGCATCTTTCCCTCTCTCTGCTGGATGTGGTCACATGGTGAAGTGTTGGCAAGAGCAGAGCTGTGGCAGACTTCCCCTGTTGGCGGGGGCTGTTGGTAGTTTGCAAAACAGAGGGAGTGTTTTTTCCCAGCTCCATTAATGGAAGCCAGTTGGTCTGGGGGGGCTTTCCTTAGCTGCAATCTGTTCTCTTCTTCTTTAATCATTTGCTGGGTGGCTCTTATCAGAGTTTCAATTTTGCTAGGCTCGTGTGGGCTACTTTGATACTGCTCAGTGCGATATCGGTCACCTGATTCGCTGGCAGACCCAGGGTCTGGAGAACTGACCACACTATCTTCATCCCAATGACCTCGCCCTAGAAATTAGAAAAAATACAAAGTAAGTGGTCTCAAAATTCATCCCCAAAACTGTAAGTGTGTTTCTTTTTCCTATTAAAAGAAACATTTATCTTTCATTTTTGAATGTATGCACCAATATTTGAAACAGACACAGGCTCACATGACAAAGCGTCAATGTATTGTACTGGCATTCCTAGTTTTCAGTGGCTTTTAAGTGTAGATGAAGTTTATCACAAGTTTTTTAGAAGGAAAACCTTGCCCGTGGGTCCTGGATGCCAATTAACAAAATGGTAGAGTGTTTTTACTTCTCCGTGTATGCATATAGTTGGACCTGTCTGACTGTAAATAATAAAAGAAGAATGCATAGCATTTGGTTTATGATACTTTCTAGAGAAATGTTACATTAAACTGATGCTTTGAAAATGCTTTCCATTGGGTTTGAGGAAGACAATGATAGAGACTGGACTACTTTCCCAGTTCCAAATAAATCATCTAAAATGTTAAAATTATTAAGTGTATCATAAGTAGAATTAAAATAAAGCTCTAGTGTTAGTTTTAAAACTATTTGAGGGTTAAATATATATATATTCATAAATACATATATACGTATATGTATGCATGGATATATATATCTTGTCCCAATCAAAAATATAAATACAGTCTCCTCAAATCTAGAGATATAAATCTCAGTTTTACATATACTTATATGGTAACTCTGGTATCTTAGTTTCTGAAGTAAGGTAAAGAATAAATAAATATTTAAAATGTTAATAACAATCTGTTCTGAACCAAGGAGAGAGATTAATACAGAGGAACAATGCATCCAAAATATATTCTATAAGCTACATTATTCTTAAAGCAGTGTGAAGTCAATATAAAAAGGGAAAGGAAAAGCAGGAAGGGACATATGAAAACTGTAAACTGCTTAATGCAGAAGGGAAGCCCTGGATCACACTATTCATTGCTTTCCTTTTCCTCTTTCTTCTTATTTTATTTCTAATATTTCCTTCCAGACTGTGTAGGTTAAGCCAGGATTTTCGCTTCACTCCATTCTTTGGCAAGCAATTGCCCTTTGCCCCGGGTTTCCATTACCAGTCTACCATACTAAAGAAACTCAAAGCAAAAGCAGAAAAATAAAAAGGAAAAACAGAAACAAATTAAAATCCTTCGTGGAAGGCTGTCAGTGCCTGGGTGGTGTCTGACAGAGACCATGGGTGAGTATAACATTGTCTAGCACATTTCCCACCCTAAAGACCCAGCAAGAAGAGTAGTATCACCCTGTTCGATCAATCTTAATGTCACTGACTTTTAATGAAACAGGGAGGGTGTCAGAGACCTGCCCGGACCCAAGCCTGGAATGGACAGAACGGGCTCTCCTTTACCAGTTTACTTTGAAATGAACAAATAAGAACATTACTGGCACTAAAGGCTTCAACCACAGTGCCCATTTCTATGTGGTCGTAAAACTGTATAATAATCCCAAGGTGAAAATTTCCATGGGTTCTATATATCACTCCATCTTTCACCCACAGAAGACATTGTAGGTTGTCATAATAATGGGGGAAGGGGGTGGTTACCAGTATTTAATGCCCAGAGGACCAGGAGGGTTAAACCACCTATGAAGTGAGTGATAGACCATAAAGCAAAGCCTGGACTCCCCAACGGGTCAGTGGGGCCCTCACTGAGAAGCATTGCTAAATGAGCCCCCAAATTACAGAGGTCCACTTTTGAACCATCAGAATACAGAAGAAAATCATACACAAGAAATTTAAATGCATACATATTACAAGTTCAATAGACTTACTCAACAATTGACTTTGACTTAATTTCTATACTTTTTATGATGTTTACAATGGAAATCATTTTTACTCACATGTCAAAAATAAATGCATGTGGCAAGCATGAGCAAAATTAATACACGTAAAAAGAGTGGATGTGGTTTGTAAAATCCCACTAGTATGAGTTCCTGATTTGTCAATTCAAAGGAGAAAACCACTGGCTCAGTCCCTCCAGTGTCAAACCTAGAATCTTAGAGACCTGCCCAGGGGCCCAATGCTGCCAGCTCAGGACTCATTTCAACCGCCCTTACCGTGGATCCTGTGGACGGAAGCGATGTGAGGCATGCTGTTTTCATAGGCTTCTCTGCTTTCTGGGGAAGACTTGGTCAGGGGCAAGGCTGCACGAGAGCCCCACCAGGGCTCCCTCCCGGCCTGCGGCGTTCCCAGGAAGTACCTGCCTGCCTCACACCGGCCGCCCTCGCAGGCCTGGGTGTGGAAGTGCCTCTCCTCCACCAGCCTGGAATGGTCCAGCGCAAAGCCGTAGCACAGGGAGCTGCGGTCAGAGAACTGTCTATAGGCGCACGAGGCATCATGCTGAGAGCCGGGTCTCTCCGCGGGGTCCAGGAGCTGCGGAGAGGCTGTGTCGGTCAGGGGACTTCCACCCCACTGGCTGTCGTGATCAGATTCAGATCTTTCCGTGTGAAATCCCGAATACTGAAACCAAGAGAGTGAGAAAAGTACATTTCAAAAAAAAAAAAAAAAAAAGGCACCACGACGGTCACGTGAGCTTTAAGGCACCAAAATAAGCCCTATAAACTCTAGCACCACGCTGGGCACCCCTGACTTGGAACCACTTAATCAGTCATGGTGCCGCAAAAGAAAATCCTTTTGGCTGCTGAAAGGAGGTAAACAATAATAACAGAGATGGAGGAACTAAATAGCAGGCTGCAGAAGCACTTCACGTGAGTGACCTCACGTAGTTCCTCTATCAACCCTTTAATGAAGAGATTAGTAACCCATTGCATGAAGAGAGAAACTAAGTCCCAAGAGAGAAAATGATCTGCTCAAGGCCACAGGTGAGCAGGCGGCAGAGTCAAGATTCAAACCCAAGTCCTCCATCACTACCCACAGGGCATTGCCAAAGGGAGAGTCCGAGAAAGCTCTATATTTTATTCCAATTTGCTGTTCAGATTTCTTTTTCTTAATTTAAAAACAAGACAAAAATAAGGTTTAAGGCCCAAAGTGCTACATCTTCACTCTTTATACTAGACTGTTAACTCTCTGAGGGCCATGCTAATAAAGGCTTAACTAATTCAATGGCAATACAATGTTTAAAAAGACTTGCCCATAGAGGCTGAACCTATTCACTAGGAGGCGTTTCTTGCTTCCCAAAGTAAGCTCACAGGACAAAACAGCTTCAGGCAACAGTGTGCCTTGCTGGAATCATGCTGCTCACCTGTTGCCAGAGTTATTTGATCTGGTGTTGAAAGAAAACGCAAAAGGTTTGGCAGAACTCCCTAGGAGGTATGCTCAGTTTGAAGTTCCTCACAAGCCACTCAAATTAGTAATATAATTTCTACCAGTTTTTGGTTACCTAACTAAGGCTAAACACAAGTCTAGGTACCATACAGAGACTACCTGCTATGATAATCACAGATGCCCAGGGGCCCCATGCTCCCTTATTGAGAACTTACAGTGTGTCTGGCAGTTGCTAACCATGGTACATATATTGTATCACTGAATCCTCACAATCCCCTGTACAGTAACATAGCTCCATTTTACAGATGGGGAAACTGCATCACTGAGAGTTTTAATAAGATGGTATGGCCACCCTGCAGTCTATCCGGCTCAAAGCCTGCACTGCAACCTTGATTTTACACTCGAGAGAAAACACTGTCAAGGAAGAGCAGAGAGAGAAAAAAGGGATCCAGTGTTAGAGACATTTCCAGAAAAGCGGCAGGGACCAAAATACAGTCTCTGAAACCAAAATATGAGTCCATTACATTTTCTTTCTTATCCCAAAAGAAAGAGGGATGGTGCTGGTGGTGCTGTGGGGGGCCCAGGAGAAATTCAGACAGCTCTGCCTAGGGGCTCTTAGAGCCAGAGAGATGAGGTGCAGAGGTTCCTCTGGGGGAACTCCAAAGTATGCCAATAACAGAGCATGTTCAGGAAGGAGTTCTACACAAATTCCAAGTTCGAGATCTTTCTGTTACCATATCTCATTATTACTTTAATTATTTTCCAAATGTACATATGGACTATCAGTATATTCCATCAAGAAAAAAAATAGTAAATGCAAATTCTCTCCCTACAGAACTGTAAGATGAGCACCATAAGGTATCCCTAGTGCCATTTCCCTACATCACACCTCCACATGCCATCGGCCTTTTCTCCCTGTGAACACCAGCCTCTCATCTTTTAAGATGACACCTTCACTTTCACCAAGTGAACGCTGGCACCCCCTTCCTTATTGAGGGGGGATCAGAGTGCTATACACTTGACCTTTGGTAACACCATTTGTGCACCTGCCTAGGAGAATTTCAGATCATCAGTGCTCTTCCAAGCCAGGAATTGCCTAGACTTTGCTTGTTTTGATAAAAGTATAAACCAGGCCTATTTCTGAAGTACTCCAGTCAAGACTTTTGAGCCTGTTGAGAGTGAAAAAGCTTTCCCTGAGTGTATATGGGAAAGTGCTATTGGCGCAGCAGAGAAGAACATTCTGTCCTTGGCTAACAAAGAAAATTCAACACAAGGCAACCCTGGCATACATGAGGTACACGTTTCAAGAGCACCCAAGGAAGAATTTGATGGATAAGCCTCTTGTCAATAGTCAGGAAACTATATAACAATAAGCACACTGCCGTTGAAGCAGGCGGAAGTTGGGTGGTTGAGTTAGACCAAGAAGATTGGTACAGAGGAAAAGCCTAGATGCAAACCTTTGTTTTTCAAGACCTGTAAACTTGCACCTGTGTGTACCATCAATCCTCTGAGCCACATTCACCTCTTTAAAATGAATTGCACTGGATGTAAACTCTGTTGAGAACCCTATAGATCCATACATTGATCTGAAAAATTTCAGGTGTTCATCAAGTCTTAGAGGCAAGAAAGAGAGCAGAAGGGAAGGCAGGCAGATGATAACATGCAGCCCGTGCCATACAATCAGTGAGTGCTGCATAAGAAGGCTCCCGGTCTTCCTCACACCTACCTTTGCTGCTTACTACATAAACAATCTTGGGCAAGTGATTTAATTTCTTTTGTACCAACAGGAAAAGGGTCGTGATGATACTTAACCTACCAAAGGCCAAACCAGAATGGGGGCCATTTAACAGAAGAGGAAATAGGGACAGGAAGCCAAGAGAACCTGGTTCCAGGTCCACCCATTCTACTAACTCTCAGGGTAACCTTGGGCAAATTACTTTACCTTTCTTAGCCTCACCTATAGAATGATACGTTGGATTAGATTAGATGCTCTCTAACTTTTCTTTCAGCTTTAAAATTCTATACGATAGAATTATTATTTGGTATCATTTCTAGTGTTAAAACATAGGATTCCTATGCCTGCCTTTATATTTCACTGATTCAAAGGAGATAAATTATTTAGAACTCTAATCCAAGTCCAAAAATGTTTATTGTCATGGTTATAAAAAGAAAGTTGTTATGTAAGTTTTATTTTACTATTATGTAAATTTTTCCCCAAGTGTCCCCTTACGGCACAAGTTTTATAGGGACTACATGATCCTTTTGGTCAATAAATTATTATATTCTAGAGGCTTCTGGCAGGATAATGGCAGCCATTTGAATCTGTACCTCTTCACAAATCCTACCCCTAGAACAAAGTGCACAAATGGAATCACCCATGACCCATGCTATCGGCATTACTGGGAGGTAGAGAGTATGCTAAATTTCAATTTATGAAAAATAAAAATAAAAAGTCAAACAGCAAACACTGTGAACCTGTGGGTCCAGAGAGTAGGGTAAGGGCAGGTATAAGAGACTCCAAGAGAGAGAAAGAGACAGAGAGGAGAGAGAGAGAGAAAAGTTTAGGACAAAGGCAAAACAGACAAAATTGTCCACAGAAAGAAAAAATACACCACAAGTAAGTGCCAAAATAAGAACAGAAGTCAGTGTCTGGTAGTTCACGACACTGGCCACAGGGAAAAGGCTTAAAATCAAGCAAAATCTAAGGTAGCAGCCTGGGACAAGAGTCATTTTCATAAGAGAAAAATGTAAATTGAGAATAGATTGTGTCCATAAAAGAGAGAGCATGAAAGGAAAGAAGGAAAAGGGGGAAATTAAGGATCCAGAGACAGGAAAGGAAAACAAAAGACAGGTGAACCCCTTCTTTCCTCTCTACCCCCTCTCTACCACCATTGTCATCCATTTACACAACCGTATTTCACAAAATTGACAAGATAGGGTGCTCTTTAAATAGTAACCCAACCCATGAAATGCTAAGGAGTAGGGGAAAAAATTAAACTCGCTATAAAACTCCTGTAGGAAAAAAAAAATGAAATGGAAATACGATCATCTCAGTTGATAAAAATTCTCATCAAATAACCAACTACGTCACAAAGGAAGTTGTAAGACAACACACCAACCTAAAATAAGTACCTTCAACAAGCACACAAACATACTTGGGTGCACACACTCAGAACCAGAAATTTTAAAACTAAGAAATGGACCCAAACACCCCACCCAACAACAACAAAACAGGAAAAAATGCAGTGAAAACTGACCAAACTCACAGAAATTGGATAAGTGAAGAGTAAGTTACAAGTTGTGAAAAGGGTACAGATTTGAATGAACATTTAATGAGGGAAATTGAAGATAAGCTGGAAAACATGTAAGGATACAAAAATTGGATAAAGAAAATTAAAAGGTCAAAGTGGTTGAAAGAAGATAGAAAAGGTTCAATATATGCATAGTGTTTATGTAGAAGGCAAAGGAACTAGAATTTTTAGAACAATTTGAAAAAGAAGAATATAATGAGAGAGAGAATCTGTCTACCCAACTTCAAGACTTACCATCATAACTGTGTGGTATTGATGGAGAAATACACGTATAGATAAACAAAAGAGAATACAGAACCCATACAAATATGCCCAACTGATTTTTTACAAAGGTGCAGAAACGATTCAAGAAAGGAAAGACAGACTTCTCAATAAATGGTTGCTGAAATAATTGGACATCTACAGGCAAAAATAAAATGAACCTCAACCCAGGTCTCATACCTTATATAAAAATTAACTCAAATGGATCACAGACTTAAATATAAAATATAAATATATAAAAGACTTAAATTAAAAATATAAATATAAAATTGTAAAACTTTTAGAAAAGAAAAAAAAGAAAATCTTTAAAATTTGGGACTAGGTAAAGATTTTTTAGACGATACCAAAACACAATGCATTAAACATTTTTTGATAAATTGGACTTGATCAAAACTGAAAACTTTTGCTTTGTTAAAGATTCTGTTAAGAGGATGAAAAGACAAGCTATAGACCAGGAGAAAACATTTCAAAACCGCATATCCAAAAAAGGACTAGAATCTAGAATATATAAAGAACTCTCAAAACTCAATAAAAAAAAAGGGCAAAAGACATGAAGAGACATTTCACCAAATAGATATACAGATGACAATCACATGAAAAGACGTTCAACATCATTAGCAATTAGGGATACGCAAATTAAAACCGCAATGAAATATCACTAAT